CATCAGTAACTACGTTTGCATTTTCACTGACCATTAAAGCTCCAGATCCCAAATGGAATATAATATTCACAGGTAATCTAAATGTTGACTTTTCTTCTTCTTCTCTGCAGGAAGTTGCTGGACCCCGGGCTGTCGTCGTCCTCCCGGCAGAGCATGTTCCTCAACCTGCTGTACAAGTCTCTGAAGGCCGACATCGTGCTGCGGCGGGTCAAGGCCTTCGTGAAGCGGCTGCTGCAGGTCAGCGCCGAGCAGAACGCCAGCTTCGCCTGCGGAGCGCTCTTCCTGGTGTCGGAGGTCATGAAGGCCAAACCGGGCCTCAAGATGCTGCTGCAGGAGGGCGGGGTAAGAAGGTCCCAACGTACCGGCGCCAATAACTCATCAGAGCGTTCATTTGAGACGTTAGTGTTGGAACTGAGAGCTTGAACTCTGTTTTTAGCTTTTCTTCTCATGTGTCTTCTATCTGTCTTCTGTGTGTATTCAGGGCGGCGAGGAAGAGGAGTTCAAAGACCTCGCTGAGGAGAAAGATGATGATGATGATGATGAAGAGGAGCGCTTTGTGGATGCCGACAAACTGGAGGAAGGAGCGAGTGTAGAGACAGTGGAGGCAAAGCCCGCAGCATCATGGGTACATCACCAGAACCTGGAAGGTGTGTGAGCAGCTCTGAGAGTTTTTGTTTTGTTGTTGTTTGTTCAGTCACAGACAGTTATGTAATATAATAGATGAGAATCAAAGTACAGATTTTTTCAAAGATTTCAAATGATGACATTAGTGTTTTTAAAATGTAAAATTAGGATTTTTTTCTTAAAATTACTATTTCCGCTGTCGCATTGAGAGTCACAGCTTGGTTGTAGTTTTCCATTAACATTAACATTTTAAAGATACAGTACCAGCAGATACATTATATAGCTTTGTTCCATGTTGTTTCCATTCTCTTTTGAATATTGATTTTTGTTTTCCCTTCTTGTTTTCCAGGAGGGAAGAGCGTGCAGAACTACGACCCGCTGCACAGAAACCCGTTATTCTGCGGCGCCGACCACACGACTTTATGGGAACTACAGAGGGTGAGAAACAAACAAACAAACAAACAAATCTTTTATCGCTTTTAATTTGCTGTAGTTTGATCATTGTACTGTTTTGGTATCCAGTGGCCAAAAGCCCTAAAACAAGAATCCTGTGATAAATCCTGCCCTTCATGAAGCTTATAATGTTCAGTTTGTGTTATAACATTTTAGAAGATGTATTCTTGTGAACATTATCGGGTTACCATCGCTGCTCTCTGATGAGCCGGGCAGGATGGGCCTACTTTGAATGGTGCACAATAGACCTTTTTAAATGCATAAAAACATGTAAAAATACAATAAAATATGAAGGCAACATTTTAAAATAATTGGCTATCATATAGTTGAAACCCCCAATATGATAATATGGCCTTACTATAAATAGAAAGAACAGGAAATGTTTTCTTTGACAATCATAAATAGTTTAGTTATCTGTCGGCAGGGATTAAACCTTAAAAGACGTTTCTGATCTCATCTGAACACTTGTTGAATGTTTCTTCTGTTTGTGTGTCTGCAGCTCTCCCTGCACTTCCACCCCTCAGTGTCCCTGTTTGCCAAAACTCTCCTGCAGGTAAAACTTTACAGCAAACCGTTTCATCGCATGTAAACAAAGAGCTTCTGTATCTGTGGAGCTGGTGGATGGAACATTTCTGCATCCATTTTCTCTTCACTTTGCTTCACACCGTTTTTGGGTGGATGTTTGTTTCCTCTGTAAACATGCTGTATGGTAATCAGAAGTGTTGTTTCCACAGGGAGGGTCCATCCAGTACTCAGGCGACCCTCTGCAGGACTTCACCCTCATCAGATTCTTGGATCGATTCGTCTTCAGGAACCCCAAACAGCTGAAGGGAAAACGTAATTAACACAGAAAACATAACCGATTAAAACACATTACAGCAGAAGAGACAGTATCTGACAGTATTTACAGTGTATATTAATGTTCAACTACAGAATAATAATTCATATCTGACAGAAATCTATGAATCCAGTCATCAGATAAAGAAAAAAAACATAATTTCTGCTTTGATATCTTTATTTTCTTAGAAAACACAGACACTGCAGCGCTGCAGCCCAAACAGAGGTCGACTGTCAACTCTTTATCAGGTGAGGTTCAACAAAAAAGTCAGTCTTTTTTTGGGTTGATTGAATATCTTATCGTTACATTAAAGGTCTCCATCTCCACTTTGTTTTTAAATTGTTATTTCAGTGAAGTGAACTTGTTTTCTGTCTCTGTCAGTGAACTGTGAGGAGTTTCTGGCTAAAGAAGAGAGTCAGATCCCCGTGGAAGAAATCTTCTTCCATCGGTGAGTTCAAAGCGATTCTATAAAGAGAGAAAAAAATGTATTCCTCAAATTATTTCTTTGTCTTAATACAAACACAACAAAACTAGTTTGTGCCCACAGCGTGGTCTGCATTGTCTCAGAACATTCGAATACGTTACAATAGGCCATACGGCATACAGAATGTGTCAACGGGTCGATGCCGTTTTAAGTCAGTTTGTGATTTTTATTCTTTCGACAGTTTCTTCAAGAAGCGGCAGCAGGAGAAGAATCTTCGTCGGCCGCGAGGAGACGGCGACAACGAGAGCGTGGAGGATGTGGACGATGACGAGTTTGAGAAAATACTCGGTGAGTCGACGGAACAGGTTCAACTTTCAGTTCATGTTTGCTGACTTTAGCTCCCAGAGTGTATCATGTTTTAAAAAGTTTAATACTGTTGTACTTTTACTTTGAAATTCAAGGATCCATTTTTTTTTACTGACAGTATTTTAGTTTGTTTTCAGCAGAAAATCAAACTTGTTGTGCTTGTTGTAAAGCTCTTCTGTTCTTTTTTAATGAAATCTAACTCATCTGTAACTTTATAACTTGTTTTTTTAAACAGATTCTTGTGAGGGAGACTCTTACTTCACTGATCTGCCAGTAGATGATCTGGACTTTGCAGGGTGAGCAGACCAGTTCTCAGCTTTATTGTTGTTTGTTCTATGAAAATCTGAAGTGGCTCAGACGTCCAACATTTGGTGAAAAATGAGTTCCTCAGCCTCCGAAAGAGAGTTTGCAGTGTGTTGATTGACTCCCTCCATGTTTGTCAGAAATGTGAAGAGTAAAAAAGGAAAGAAGAAAGCGGAGGACTCCGACTCGGACATGGACGACTCGGACATGGACGACCTGGACGACGAGGAGGTGTCTCTGGGCAGCATGGACGAGGAGGACTTCGGTGATGAGCTGGAGGATGAAGGAGGGATGTTCATGGATGCTGACGGAGGCGGAGATGAAGATGACGATGAAGGTAGACAACATTGAGTCCAAATGGCGTCTTTTATCTTTGTCTTTCATGTTTTGTGTCAAGAGTTTGTGGAGTTCATTAGTATTTCTTAAAAGGATAGCCATTTAAATATCTTAATTTCTTAAAATTGATCTGCCCTTTTGTGTGTCTTCTTTCAGTTCCAGAGCTGGAGGATGACGACGCTGCATTTGGTGGTGAGTTCACAGACAAACCTTCATCACAGTTTGATCCCGTTACACAGATAGGATCATATACACATACATTATATAATAGTCACAAAGTAGGCCTTTTAAATACAACATACAGATGTCTGTGCGCACACAAATAATGAAAACTATCACCATTAAGAAGACTTGTTGGTAAAACCACATCAATGCACCAAACTACATTTTCATATGAACATCATATAAATATAGAAAGATTAACATTTAAATAAGAAGCCTTTGTTGTCATATCTGTAAGACAAATGTGTTACTGAGTTGAAGAAAAGCTTCAATAAAGACATAAAACCTTTTGATCTATCTGCAGATTCAGACGATGAGATGGAAGCTCCAGATATAACTCCACGTACCAGGAAGGGGAAAAGGAAATCCTCAGAGGAACTCGACTTCGGTGGATCTTTAGGTTTGTTTATTATTTATCTTTATCCCCACTAATTAATACCTTTTATTAGAATGTAGTAATCTTCCTGCTTTTGTGACCATTTTGAAAACTTCCCGCTGCTGTCGTGTTATTGATCACTGCTCCTTCTCACAGGTTCCAAACAGGGGAAGAAGAAGAAGAAAGGAAAGAAAGACGCAGCCGTGTTTGCTTCGGCTGAAGAGGTGAGAAGATAAAAATACATTGTTTTTATAATTTGTTTTTAAATTGAAATAGTACAACTAAGAAATACCTTGAAAGTTTAAAGGCTTCTGGAAAAATATCTGAATGAAGATTTGATGGAAACCAGGAGGAACAAACGCAGAGCAGAATAATCTCTTACCTGTAATCAGTCTCTGCTTCAGTCTCTGCACACACTGTAGTTGCTGTCAGGTGAAAACCTTGTATCTCCCAATGGTGACATTTATGCCGTCAAACAACTTAAAGCATAACTTGCTTCTTCTTGGTTTTAGGACTGCAGCTAATGATTATTTCCACCATCAGTTATTCTGCCAATTATCTTATGAATCTTTTTGTCTTTTAAAAAAAACCCACATAAAACCCTCAATAAATAGCAAAACTCTGTCATTCAGCCAAAACACAGCTGACGTTTACTGAAGAGTTAACATTTTGGAGGTTTCTGATTTTTGTGTGGTTTGTTATTTTTCAGTTTGGCTCTCTGTTGGATGAGAACGCCGGCTCCAAGTTTGACAACATCGGGCTGAACGCCATGGCCAACACTGACAAAGCGGGTAGGTACACCAAGAACATCAGCAGACACCAAATAAGACATAAAATACAGCCCCTTATAATATGTCTGATAACACAACTTTATATTAAGTCTTTTGTATTTCTACAATAATTCTACAAATAATTAAATAAAAATAGAAAAAAGTACCTTTTTGTGTATAAAAAGAATGAATGTTTTGAGAAGGTTCATTTATATTTGTTTACAGCCAGTGGATCTGAAAAAGTTATGAGCATCATGTTTTATTAAAAATATGAGATGAAGCCAGAAATCAACAGGAAGGTTTTTTTATTCAGTTTGCTGGATACCAGCCAGGTTTAATAACTTCTCCACAGAGACAAAATCTCTCAGATTTCCAACAGTTTGCCATAAAATGACTCACTTTTTATAAATAAAGTCATTTAGAAAGTCTTAATGGATTCATACTTGAAGGAGCCTCATTGTCATATTTCTGTCTGTTGTGATTATTGGTCATGATAACGTTTTTACTCTCCAGCTCTGTTGTTAAAAGACAAACGAACACTCACTTGAACTGAAATCTGAACGTATCAGACTTCAAGTAAAGGCTTAAGGGTTAAAACATTGCAGTCAAACACAAATAAGACAAATATAACTCCTCCTGTAGGACAACCATAAGTAGAGGCTGCTGTTGGAACCGACGTCTTAATAGGAGAAGTTATAATTCTGGATAAATACTGTACATTAAACGGCTTATAGTATAGTTAAAAGCCATTTATTAAATATTCATACAGAGTTTAAATATCCTAAGTAAGGGCTCTTAAAGTGTTTTAATGTTTATCCAATTCAGAAACAGAATATCTTCTCTCATTTGCACACACAAATCTGTTCAGTGTTTACTTTTTACCCAAAATGAGATTCTTTCTTTTAAACTGAAGTCTACTGGAAATCTTTTGGAGGCTTTCCCTCCTTTTAACGTTGTTCCTGTTGTAGTCCATGTTTTCCCTAAATCTCTCCAACAGAGATGGTGAGAGAAACGTTATCATGACCAATCAGTCAAAATGGACTAAAATACGAGAATAAGACAAATACTGGAGCTTCCCTTTAGATACATTCTCTACAATAAGTCTGGTGATATTTTATGTTTCTTATCGTAAACAAATCCCATAAAAACAACAACTAACAAGCCTTCGTCTGTGCCGTAGAGGCGGTTTAAACTTCTTCTCTTTTCATGAGATTTGTTGACCATAAGAAAGATATTCAGTCACTCCTCATCGTTTGAATCGTTTCCTCGCGTCATCCTGAACACTGGAGGCAGGAAGTGATGCCGACTTGTCTCCTCTAACATATACCCTGTTTGTCCCTGCAGGCCTGAAGCAGCTGAAGTGGGAGGCTCAGCGAGACGACTGGATGCAGGGCCGTGACGTGAAGACGCTGCGCAGGAAGAAGGCGATGTTCAACAAGAAGAAGGTGTTCGGCCGAGCGAGGACGGCAGGGAAGACGTTCGGGAACAAGAAGAGGAAGAAGTAGCGGCTGCTGTCCGTTTGTTGTTGATTGTTAACTGACTGACAGCTTCAGTCCTCTTTGGCCGACCAGGCTTCGTGGTCTTTCTCCCGGATGCCGTAGACCCCCGCCCACTCGTTGGACTGGTAGTAAACTGGTTGGAAACAGACGAGGAACTGGTTTTCAGACGGAGTCGGCTGATTAAAGACACACGCTGTCTGACTTTTCTCTCATTAACAGGACGAAATATGATCTGAAGAGGAGCCGTGTTTAGTGTTTTTTTTTTTTTTGTACAACTAAAGACTTTGGTATACGGGACATTGCGTTGGCATGGTTACGCATTTCTGTCTGCAGATGATTATGTATACATTTAACAATTTTAATACAAAACAGATTTTCCTGTATCTATTTTAACTCTGTACAGAGTTCATATTCATTCTGCCCCTGTGTTATATGACGACATGCATCAAACATTAAAGTTAGTTTCTGATGCAGTTTGTTTATAAGAGTAATTATGTAAACAAATGCCCATATTTTCAGTTCTGATCAATTAAACACTTTGGTCTTTTCTCTATCTGTGACTAATTATTTTGTGCTTTAGTTAAAACTACTCCCAGCTGTCTCTTTGTGAAGGTTGAAATGTGACTTAACATATATGCAATGTGGAGTTTTTCATCAGAACGATCAATTACGTAGAATAATTAGTTATAATCACAAAAATGACGTAAAGCACCCTGATGTTTGGGCTCCCCTTCAAAATAAAACTTTTTTTTGTCACAAATGTAAACTTAGATTAATACTGATGTACAAAAATATTGTGGAATTTAAATCTGTAGAAGCTCCACACCTTACAGATAAACATATTTATATTAGAGCTAAACAGATGAATCAAATAGTTGACTATTAATTACTGTAGAACTGGCAGAAATTAACTGTCTCCAGCATCTCAAATGTGAATATTTTGCTGCTATTCTTTGTTTTCTGTGATAATAAACAGACTAACTTTGAGTTTTCAACTGTTGGTTAATCAAAACAAGACTTTTAAGGATATCACTTCGTTCTCTGGGAACTTGCGATGGGTAATTTTGCATTATTTTCTCATATTTTCTCATATTTTTAATCATCAGTTGCAGACTTGTTTATACATTACTGCTGTGAAAGTCAATGATGGCAGGGAAACTACCTGGAGGATCATCTATAGTTTTTAAGAATTACGTAGAGCGACAGCATCCTGAGAGATTATTAAACTTCACACACTATAAATTAATTAACAGAAGCTCACGGCTAAATTAATTAGATCTGTTCAAAACAACAACGTGACTCACAATAAATCCATTACATTTAAATAACTGGATTATTGATTAAAAAAACCATCTGATATATTGTATTAAATGTCCAACATCAACACCTTGTAGCCCTAAATTTAGTTTAATAGAGGACAAATATCTGCTCACCTTCCAGCACTGATGGAAACCGCCTGTTCACGGTGTTCCTGAAATCTGCAAGTGGGGGAATAAAAACATTTTTAGAAGATATAAAGTCAGTGAACACAGGTTTAAGCGTTTGTCTGTCACTGATTACTTTACTGATACCTCGACTGTTGTTCATCATGTGAAACAGACCGTACGCCCCGAACACACCCAGAAGCTCCAGAGCGATCACTCCCTTCATGAGTTTCTTGGCCAGAGGTTCCAGAGGTTTGGGAGACATCTGAGGAGACATCAACACATTCATTCATTCATTCATTCATTCATTCATTCATTTTCAGGACGCTTTTGAAAGCTAACAAAGAGTTAAACTTGTTTGTGAGAGATAATCAGACTGATTATCTTGTGTCATCATTTTCAGAGGAAGTAATTTCTACCAAAGCAAATTATAAATAAATGAATTATAAAAAAAGTGAATAAATATATATATTTGATTATAATGGCTGACAGTGAGGTCTGTGGGCACCCTTTATAATGTCTGATTCTTTTCAGTCTTTTATCCTTTTGTAAAGAGAAATCAGTGCAGATTTTAAAAAGCATCATAAACAATTATTTTATTCATTCTTCAATCTTATTTTATTATAAATCATTTTATGTTCTACTGAATGTGCCTCTCTCACTGGAACCTAACTCATGTAAAACACCCAGTAACTTAGTTTGAAAGGTTTATAATTCATTTTACTGTGATTATAATTATTATTATTATTATTATTATTATTATTATTATTAGTCCTGAATCTACAGTCAGTAATTAATAGTTTTCAGGTTGTTGAGCACAAACATTAATCTATTTCACTATTAATCAAACAACATTCAGACAAACTGTGACTTTAATCACGAAAAACAAATAAATAAAATAACATTATTTATTCTCTTCACAGTTTCGGGACACAACATAATATAATAATAAACATTAAAGCGAACAGATCCTAAAACGTCTCTTTAACTTTTATTAACTTACCTTCACATCCGCGGTTCAGGAAACAGCTTAAAGAGTGTTTAAGGATGAATTCAGATTATAAATGTTGTTAAAATAAAACATCAAACACTCTTTGTCCTTGTGTTGCACAAGCAAAGCTAACAGGGTACTACTTCCTGGTACGGAAGCTCGGTTGGTACAAACCACTGCAGCGACAAAACGCGACTTTTTCACTTATACAGTAATTAAAATGACTTTTAATAGCCGGATAGCTGTACGTTATTAGTACTATTACTACTACTTGTATTTTCTAATGTGCTACTGGAAGTTTATTTTATTTTAAAAATAATTAAAATATTATTTTACAAGAATTCAGTGGTCTCATTTTTTTTAAATATTAAATTTTACAGTGGCACACTCCTGACTCCTTAATATTACAAGTGAAAGAGTTTAGGTGTTGAACATTTATACTGTGTCATATACATTAAAAATCTCCATAATGAAAGGAATCAGGATGAGAAATAAATAAATAAATAAATAAATAAATAAATAAATAAATAAAGTCAAAGTTTGTGGGGTGATAGGGAAAGGCAATAGAACAGTAACAAAACAAATGAATAAATATGTGGGTGATAATTCATAATTGGCTGAAACAATGCAATTTATTGAGCTATTACACGCTCAGGTAATAAAGCTTTACCATTCAATAGATTCTATATTTTATCATACGAAGGTTCACAACTTCCCTTCGTAGAAACATTTATATGGGAATAAATAAGATTATAGTTTATGTCTGTTAAAGCAATAAAAATAACAAAGTACTCTCTTGATTTGAGACCTTTTTGTCTTTAAAACATCCTGATGAAATTACAGAATTAAAGACCAAATCATCATCACACATTTGGAAAAAAAAAAAAGACTGTAATCCAACTTCATACACAGGTTTTATTCTGTGTTCCTTCTTTTATGTCACTAAAAACAAAAATAGATTTAGAATAGATTACAGCTGTAGCTGCAGGAGCTCTCCAGTAGGTGTCAGCCCACAGCTCTTGTTGATGTCTCACATGAGAGGAACAGTGAGTTCTGTGATATTTACCTTCAAAAACTGAAAGAGAAGAGACAGATTTAACTAAAAAAAGTCTTCAGGTAAGAGACAGAGTGAGGATTATCACCGGTTAGTGAGAAAAATAGTTTTTTTTATATATAAATCATGCACAAGAAGTCAAATCAAATCGCTGAATGAATTCATAAAACATGCAAAGATCTCTGTTTCTTGGGTTTCCTGAGAGAAAAACACCAATTTCTTTCATGTAGACTCAAGTATTCTCTCAGGTGAGCGAGCACCTGCTGCAGGTTAGATTATTCAGTATAGTGTGGACAGTCTCACAGCTGCAGGTCTCTGCTGTTCCCCTCAGGACTCTCAGGAACCTGCAGCTGCACGAGTCCAAACTGAGAGACAATATTTGTTCACCTGAGTCACAAACACGTGAGTTTACAGCAGCAGGTTGAAGTTTGGTGGCTAGAAGAAAAATAATCTGACTTTTTAAAAAGATAACGTCTATGTTTCTTCACACAAACACTCACACAGTCCTAATATAACAATGCTGTTGGATTATTGTCTGACTCAATGTCAGTTTTCAATGTTTGTTTGGTGTGTTAAACACTACAGTACCCATGAGCCTCAGCAGCCAAGAGAGAAAGCAAAGTAAGCCAACACAGCTATGAAAGGTGTTAGACTTTATTTTAGAGCCACAATGATTCGTCGATTATTGGATTTAAAGTCATTTTTTTGCTCACGTTTGCTCTTACATGAGACTAAATTGAATATTTTGGGGGGGTTTGGAAACAAGAAGACATTTAATGATGTCACCTTGTGCTCTGTTTTTTGCATTTTTCACTGGTTTTTGATCAATTGATCAAGAAAATAATCTTCAGATTAATTAATGGCATAAAATAATTGTTAGTTGCAGCCTTAATTTGTTTAGAATAGTTCAATATTGAATTTAAAATAACACTCAAACACCTGAAGGAAGCTTCAGAGACAGTCACAGTGAGCTGATCAGAAGCAGATTTCTTCTCATCAACGATCATTAAAGATAGAAGATAAATGTTTCTCAGCTGACAGTGGAGGTAAAATTTACTCAAGTACTGTACGTCTGTGTATTGAATGAATACGTGTTGAAAATGTGAAACTGCCACAGTGGACTGACGCGTGTATTACACACTTTGTTGTGATATTGATTGCCTAATGGTAACTATACATGCATGTGTTTAGTTATTTGTATATGTGTGTGAATGGATGGATAAGGAGACAGGGGGCCAGTAAGACCACACTTGCACAAGATCCAGATTTTTGTGCTAAAGCTTCAGATTTTGTGTATTTTTTTTTTTTTTTTTTTTTAAGAAAATCTATTTGAAACTTTTTTTTTTTTTTTTTGTGAAAGCAGTGTGAGCACATCTTAAAAGCCTCACAGATATTTCAGCCCTTCGTGCCTGACAGTCTCGGTGTGCTGTGAGACACGTTGAGCTGCTCTGGGCCACAAAAGAGAGAAATATTTTGGGTTTGTTTGACGTCCACACGGGGAGGACAAGTTTTGTGTGTGTGCAGAGAGCATGGTGGTCCGACGTCTCTTGTTCCTTCACCTCGGCTGTGTGTACCTTCTGTCCTGTCGTCTTTTCAGATTCATCACCAGGTAAATACACTCGGGCAGACCACAAACAGTAAACCCTGCAGCCCGAGAGGAGGAGGAGGAGGAGGAGGAGGAGGAGGAGGAGGAGGAGGAGGAGGATCTCAGACTGTCTCCCCTTTTGCTGTAGGACAGAACAGGAATAAAATGTTAAACAAAAATCACTCTCAAACTGGGGGAATGTCCATTTTTCACTTGTTTAAGTTCAGATTGTAACTATCATACAGGGAGAACAAACACAGATCCATTTCTACATCTACAAGAGCATAAAGTAGACCACAATGCATTGCAGCAGGAAAATATTTACGGGGGTGTTAGGAGTCATTTCTGGGAAAAGCAGGGAATTTAACTGCAGTGCAGATAGACAAGGAAGATTTAAGGAAAGGTTCAACGAAAAAGTACATTAAGATTAGATTGTTTTCAGTTAACAAAGTCAAAAATGAACTTTAAAGTTTAAGATTCTGAATATTTTCATTTTCTGCTGCTTTATACATCAACTCCACCACATTTCAGAGGTAAATTATTCTACATTTTGCTGCTCTGCATTTATCTGACAGCTGCAGCTACTTTACTAGTACACATTAAATGAATCCTAGAATCAGCTCATAAAACTGTAATTACCATCATTTGTTGGCTTGTCTTCACAAAAAAACGGCACCTGGTTGTGTCTGCTTGTCACATTTCAGATGTCTGTGAGATGTTAACTCTTCACGTTTCATTCAAATAACTGTTTGAGGTACAAAGAGGCAAAATTATCTGATATTATATTTTGCCAACTAAAAACTGAATACAGATTTGCATATCAGAACTTTCTTCTTTCCTCTCAATCATCTTCCGACCCCTCAGATGTGATCTGGTGACCCTTTGGAGGGCCCTGAGCCCAAGGTTGGGAACCAGTGGACTGAACTAGCTAACTGTATGTAAAATAGTTCAAACCAGCTCCACCTCAAACAAACAAACAAACAAAGTGCTATTCTATGCTATGTATATAATCTATTACATTGATGCATCAACATATATTAAAATCAAATTTATTTGATTAATATAATTTTTTTTGTGAAATATTGGATTATTGGATAATATTTGAAGTTTAGAGGTTAAAAAAAAGACGTCTAAGCTGAAACATGCTTGTCAAAAATTTTGTAAAGTTATCAAATAAATGTAATGCAGTAAAAAGTACATTACAATAGTTCCCTCTGTAGTTACAGAACGTGTTAATACTCAAATAACTGGATAAAAGTAACATCACATTAGACAGGTAATGACATTATCAGCAGATTAATCAAATGGTTCAATAAAACTGATCTGGCTGACAAATAAATCAGGTTTTCAGTTTCAGAGAGTGGATCAGCAGCATTTGTCAACATCATGTAAACATCAAGTGTCAACAATCACTAAAGATAGAAGATAAATGTTGTTGTATGATCAACATCACTGAAAGTGGTGGAATGTAAATGTTAACTTCAAGATATTTGTACTTTGTACCTTTGAGTCCAATATCAGAGAGAAATATTCTACTTTTCTCTTCACTACATTTATCTGACAACTTTAGTTACTTTACAAATTAAGATACACCCAAAGTACAGAGATTAAAAAATATGATGTTTTGTTTGTTGTAAATTAAAGCACCCAACAGTTGAAACTATTAGTAATTAGTTAATTGGTGAACAGAAAAATGGAAACTATTTTGTCATTTTCATGTAAAAACAGCTTTTCCTTTTAATTATTTTGATAATTTGAGTTATTTTTTTTTTGTAGGTTTGGACAAAAGAAGCATTGTGATTACAAACCAAACAATCAATTAATGGAGAGAATAATAAGCAGATTAATCCATAATGAAAATAATCGTTATGGTTTCACTCCTACAAAAACCAACAGTAAAATCCTTCTTATTAACTTAATTTAACGAGTCATAGTAATCTAATGTTATCATAACCTATATAATATAGTTATTACTATATTACCATACTGTGTGTATGTATGTATGTATATTATTTATTTATTCATTGTTTTATTGGGTTATTTGGTTATTTATTTAATACATGAACAATTATTGGCATTATAAGTATTATAATATATAATATATATACCTTTTTCACTCTCCTTTTGCCTTTTAATTATGTTATTGCTCTCCTCCACACCCCCACAGACACTCTGACTGCCTTATTGTTTATGTTGGAATTGTTTGTAATTGTTTGTCTTGCTGTATGTTGCTTGTATGTGTATTTACTTTAATGTCGCACTTGTCACCAATGTATCATGTTTATCACCAATAAAAATAAATGAACAAATAAAAACTATATCATACATAACTGAGACATTTCCCTGCATTTAAAAGTACTTTCAAACTTTAAGTACATTTTTTTTTACTTGAGGAGGATCTAAACACATCCTGCTCGTGCCGAGATGTTGATAGGATATTCAACTCAGTACGTGAGCGCGAGCAGGAGGGGGGGCAGAGGGAGACAGCTGATTGGACGCTGGCTCCAGCAGGAGCGCGAGCGCAGGTGCCAGAGTCGCTCATTGAGCAGAAACCGTCTCCGGTCACAGTCGCTGCTCAGGTATGAGCCAGTCCCGGTTCTGAAACAGTCGGGGATACACCGGACCGTGAACCCCGCGCCGCTGGGACGTGCGGTCCTTTTAGTTGTTTTTTTATTATTATTATTTTCCCGCCTCGCGTGAAGGTTTTTTGGATGAATTGGTGTTGGAGCGTGCACGATGCTGAGCGCCGTTAAAATGGAGGGACACGAACATCCGGACTGGAGCAGCGGCGGATACTACGGAGAGACCGAGGTCGGTGCACTTTACACCGGGATCTGTCTGAACGTATCAACCGTAATTAACTGTGTGACTAACAAACTAAATAGAAACTAAATTAACATTATTATAAAGGCCTGTTAACATATTATATGTATATATATATATCTATATATATATATATATATATATATGAAGGCCCAGTGGTGTTTTACTCGTGTCCTCCTAATTTTAACACTTAAATAAGCTACACGGAAATATTTTTTAATCAAACATAGTCACTATTTATATTATTTGTATAGTTTACGTATGTTTTTTATGAATAGATGGTTTATTTTTTAACTTTTAACAACTTTTATCCCTGCATTGCATCACAATCAGAGGCTAGACTTCGGTTAAAAGCATTTTCGATGTTTTGTGGCAAACAAAAAAGTAATAATGCTGTAAAAAAGGTTCAGAATGAACTCTAAAAAACCTGTTATCTTTTAATTAAAGTTTTCATTTAAGCCTTTACATTTTAAAAATTATAATTTCAAATCGTTTTTTATTATTATTGAAATAATTCTTCTAATTTCCAGTTCAGGTACAGACAGGGAACCATATTGAGACAGAACTTGGTTTGTTCTGGAAGTTAAATTAAAGTAAAATTTCACTTTCTCTTTATACTTTTATGGTTAACTAAAAGATTATTTAGAGGGTTTAAGCACCAGAGTTTAATGTAAAGTGACTAAACTGTGAAGTCTAAAGTTTTTTAGAATAAATGTTAAATATAAAATATATTTATGAAGAGCAAAAAACATCAATCAGAGAACATCATGACCAATATCAAGGACTCTTCTGTCATTATGTTACAACAACTAAAAAATGTATTTGTTTTTATTATTAATAATAATAATAATAATAATAATTTATAGCCTAAATGACCAAAAAGCTTCTGTTCAGGCTCTAGACAACGAGGTTTCTGCATTTTTCAACAACAATAAGGCTGATTCCTGTATTTTAGATCCAGTATTCTTTTATTTTTTTCCTCCTGAGCTATTAAACTGAATTTATTCCTTCATATTGAGACAGAAAAAGTTTACAGGCCTGTAATTTTGTCCTAGGAAGTTTCCTGGAGAGAAATGTGTAATAAAATATAAAATAATTTTAAAGAAAGTTCTGAGAGTTTAGTTATTGAGTTAACATTGTCACAGGGATCTCCTTGAAAGAAAGGCTAAATGTGTTAGTTATCATTGTTGGTATGATTATAAATATAATAGAGAGGCTGTGTGTTTAGGTCCTTCACAGAGTTTATTATACAGCAGTAAACATAAAGTGTTTGAGGCAATAAGTCAACCTTTATGGGGAAAAAAGACTAAATTATATAGTTTATTGTGTAATAAATAGGCAATTATCCATCATTTAAAAACTGGTTAGATTTATTTATTCATGCAACATATAAGGTATTATCAAAAAGACAGAACATTTATAATAATAAAGGGATATGGAATCAATCTCTCTGGTTAATGATAGATGTGAACTAATGACACAGGAGCACAGTGTGCATAAAGTTACAACGATTGGTTAATAAGAAAATTAATTATTAACTATTTTGATAATCAAGTAATTATTTAAGTCATCTTTTAAACAAATATAGCCTATATCAAACATTACCATGTCCCAGCTTCTCAAATGTGAAGATTTTATAATTTCCTCTGTCTTATGGGATATTGAACTGAATATTTTCTGGTTCTGGACAAAACAAATAAACTGTGATGGTCATTTTTCACAATTTTCCAGACCTTTTTTAGACCAATAATCGAAAAAAGAATAAAGTAACCATAAGCTATTTGCAGCCATAGCTTAATGTAAAATATAATATATGTAGTTAATTATTGGTATTATCTGTGTCTGTGCGTTTATGTAACTGTGATCTTTGTTTTTATTATTTAAAATAAAATGAAGGCTAAAAATCCTTCTAAATCTACAGAGCTGATAAACAGTTGTACTAACTTGTGTCTCTGTGTGTTTCAGTGTTACACCACAGCGGGAAACATGAACTCCGGTCTGTCCATGAACTCCATGAGCAGCTACATGAGCGCGCCTGGCATGTCCAGCAGCGGTCACATGAACGCGCATTATGTGAACCCGGTCGGGGTCAACCACTCCTCGATGCCCGCCGGGTTGTCGCAGAGCCCCGGGGCTGTGATGCAGTCCGGGGGCGGGTTAACGGGCCTGGGCGCCGCGCTGCCGCCGAGCATGAGCTCCATCAGCCCGCCGCCGTACGGGAGCATGGCGCCGGTGATGAGCCCGGTGTACGGTCAGGCGTGCGGGATCCGATCCAGGGAGCCCAAACCGGCCTACCGGCGGAACTACACGCACGCCAAGCCTCCGTACTCGTACATCTCACTGATCACCATGGCCATCCAGCAGTCGGGCAGCAAGATGCTGACACTGAACGAGATCTACCAGTGGATCATGGACCTGTTCCCGTTTTACCGGCAGAACCAGCAGCGGTGGCAGAACTCCATCAGACACTCGCTCTCCTTTAACGACTGCTTCATCAAGGTGCCCCGCTTACCGGACAAACCGGGGAAAGGCTCCTTCTGGGCCCTCCACCCAGACTCCGGGAACATGTTTGAGAACGGCTGCTACCTCCGGCGGCAGAAGCGCTTCAAGCTCGGGAAAAGAGCCGGTGGAGGTGACAAGGAGTCGGCGGGGAAGGCGGGCACGGAGGGCGGCTCGGTGACCGCCACCGGCACCACCACCGGCACCAGCAGCAGCAGCGGCTCCGACTCCGACTCCCCGCACTCCTCCTCTTCTCCCCCTCCGTCCTCAGATGGAAAGGGAGTCGGGGTCGACCTCAAAGCGCACCGGGGTGAACAGTTGCCCTCCAGCCCCGTGCGCGTGCCCTCCCCGCTCGCGCACAGCCAGCACCTGTTCTCCCATCCCCATCACCACCACCACCACCACCACCACCCGCTGCTGCTGCACGAGGCCGCACACCTGAAACCGGACCACTACCACCCCCACCACTACTCCTTCAACCACCCGTTCTCCATCAACAACCTCATGTCCGAGCCGCAGCACCACAAACTGGAGCCGGTGGTGCAGTACGGAGGCTACGGCTGCCCGGTGTCCGGAGCGCTGGTGGCGGCGAAAACCGGTCTGGATCCCGCGTACACCGACACCAACTACTACCGCGGCGTGTACCCGAGGCCCATAATGAACTCCTCCTGAAGAACCGACGGACTTTTTACACTGAAAACATTTATAAATGTGAGGAAAAAAAGGCTTAACGTGTTTTTTGCAAATGTTTTTTTTTTTTTTCCACACTTCATCATTTGTCAGTTGTGTTGTTTGTATATGTGCAACAGATAAAAGTCTTTATATGAAAACCAATTTTTATGTTTTATGTAATTTGTTTTAAGCCTAAAACTCCTATTTTTGACTGCAGCTACAACAGCTTCGGTTGCACACAATGGAATGAATCATAAACATTTAGGCCTATTGGCTGTATATGTTAATATGAGATAAAGTCTTTGAAAGTTCCTCATTAGCACTAAATGGTTTATCAGCTGCAGAGTGACAGAGGCGCATGAAAGCATCAGCAGATAACAACAAGAACAATGACACAGTGACAAGGTGAACTGTGCTCCTCTTAAAGCACATTAACATCTGACAGACATGATGTTTAACAGCAGATAACAGACTTCACAGCTCATAGCTCACACTCAAGGAGGCAGGGAGGGTATTTATCTGCCTCTCTAACACCGTGCTGCTCAGGCCTGTCAGCTTAAACACTGTTTTTATTAGAGAAATCTAATAAACAATAACTTTGTCCTTGGTGTGACAAGAAGGACACAATGGGAAGTCTGTTTCTATATAATTGTATTATTGTTATTATATAAATGATAGCAAAACATCACAAATAAACATAAATACACACAAAACGAACAATAAAATAGCCTAAATAAATAAAAATAAGAGCCATAAGTAATGGTAGCATACTGGTACAACATAGGTCAGTTCATAAAGAAAAGATGAAAAGATACAATTGATTAACAGAAAACCAATCTGCAACCATTTGACTCATTTAGTCGTCCAAATCGTTTAAAAAATTTAAATACTACTTAATTTCTCAGTTGTTTAGTCCATAAAATGTCAACATTTATGAACAATCACAGTTTCCCAGAGCCCAAGATGACGTCTCAAATAGCTTGTTTTGTTACCAACTGTCCAAAACCAACTTTTATAACATTTACAATGATATAAAATAACAGAAAAACACCAAACCGTCACATTGGAGAAGGTGGAACCAAATAATATTTTGAGCTTTAACTGTAAAATGGAGATTATCAAATAAATTCCTGATTTCTGGACTTTGACTAATTGATTCATTGACTAATTGTTTCAGCCTCTTGCTGCAGACTTCTAATATTCGTTGGACTCCTGAGGGATCAAACAAAACAAGACCCCCTAAAGATACAGTCGTACATCTCGTGGACCAATCCAGAAAATAATAAGCAAATGAATCAACAATCAAAACAACCATTGCAGATGAATCTATACACTCTATTTGATTTTGATTGGTTTAGTCCAGGATTTCACTCAGTACTGGTCGCCACGAAATAGTTTGTCATTTATCTTTGAAGTAGCAGTGAAACTTTTCATTTAAACATGGCACACAGATGGGGGCTGATGGTGCTCGGTGGTGGAAAAGTTAGTTTCGATTATAATATGCAGGGAATTATAGAAGTATACGTGAGTTTTCTTTGGTTTGATATCAGCATTATATATCGTCCATCGTTCACCCTGATCTCTAAATATCAGTAGTTCAGCTTAATGTCTGATTCCTACAAACAAACCTGTCCTGGTTGCATTTTAATTTCAATTTGGAAAGTTAAACTAGTGGAAGGTCTCTCTGCCAGAGGTCCTCTTCTTTGTCTGAAATCTCTCAACCAATATAAAATGGAAATGAAATATTTCAACAGTTATTATTAGACTTTATGTTCCCCCCTCAGAATGAATGGAAATAACTTTGATGACTCTTTAAGGTCACAATATTGTTCATCCAAAACTTCAGTTTATAACTAAAAACCTGTAACAGTAATGACATTCCCATCAGCCTCAGCTGTGCTGTGTATTTATTCCTCTCAGCTAATCTCATGCTAACAAGCTAAACTAAGATGGTGAACATGGTAAACATTACGAGCACGTTAGCATTTAGCTCAAAGCACCGCTGTGTCTAAGTTCAACCTCACAGAGACTCTTTTAGGATTGTTGAATTTAAAACATTGTAAAGGTCTAGTATTTAAATACCTAAATAAATACTCTTGACACAAAAACTGAGCAAAAATAAGACAAAATAAGACGTTTGGAGGACATACAGTTATCAGATAAATAATGTTAACGAGGAAAGAGACAATAAATATATATCTATTTAAAACCCTTTGAGGTCCCTTTCAGCTCAAAATGTGATATTAAACATTTGAAATCTGAAAGGACTGCTTTATTAAACTAATTAATTGTAATTAACTGTTGAAATGATACGAATTATGTTCTTTGGTATTAAATATCTAAAGAAATCTCTTAAAATTTAGATAATTTTACAGATTTGAAACATGGCAGGACTGTGATATATAAGCTTATAAGCTTCTTCAGATGTTGTAATGAGCATTTGTTTTTATTTTAGAAAATTAGATTGAACATTTAAATGTTGAATTGTTGAAATTTATTTTTGGGGGAAGTCACGTTTAATCATTTCTATAGCAGCAAATGTAAACTGCATGCTTCAGTGATAATCAATCCATCCACGACCAAAGACCCATCTATGTTAACTGACCATGATGTTTATCTTTCACAGACAGACGGAAGAATGACAAACAGACTGTTATTAAAGGGTTGCTGTAGACTAACTAACTGAAGTCAGTTTGTTAAAGAAACTCATTTTCAGTTTTAATAATGATGGACTAATAAAGTCTCACTAAAATAGGCTACTTAATGTAAAACAATGTAATCTCAGCACTTATGAGTCAGACCATGAGAGGCAGTTGAGCTTATTAGTTCGATTTATATACATTTTGTTACACATTTAAATGTGGTTATTGTTGTACATATATGTCTGACATATAAATGTACTGTACTGAGACTGAAAGTGTTACATTATCTGAATTATCTATGAATCTAAATAGCACCAAGAGTAGCTTCAACATTAGAATGGACATATTAATACGTTCATAAGAAAATATAGTATATACATATTAAAGTAATATAACATTGCAAGGGGCCATTCTGCAGCCTATTGGGATACTTTAAGTACATTTTGTTGCTAATACCTCTGTATTTTTATTCAAGTAAAGTTTTAAAGGCAGGACATTTACTTATAGAGTAACAGAATATCTCTACAGTATGTGAAAGTACTGATGGTTAATAATATGTTTCTGTTTTTATTGTAAAACTTAAGCCTGCTATATCTATACATTGAGTCAAAATAACCATATTTTAGTTAAATAAAATAAAGTAAATAGCCCAACAGTTAACACTGGGTCAAAACCGTCCAATACTTGGAATATTGATATTATATATTGATCCAAACCATTTTTAGTGTGTATAGATAGCATAGCAGCAGTATTGAATTACAATATGAGTACTAATACCTGTTACTTTAACAAATTACACAGAATTTGGATCATTAATTCACCCTTTCACTCTTACACTTCTATATACAGTTTGTGAACCATGACTTACTTCTTTAATTGTCCTTTAAAGTCCATCAAACACAGGACTAATAGTCACAGAGCAGCAACTGAACACACTGAGGACAACACAACTACATGAATAATAAACACAGTATCATGTCCAGGCTATAGGAAGCTGCAGGTTGAACACGACCCCAGGTGACCTCTCAGATTCAAGGAAACAACAACAGTGATGATGATATATGCTGACCTAAAGAGGAAGAGCCTCAAACAAAAAACTTCTTTTATATTATATTTATGAGGTATTTTAATATTTCTCTTCTTCGTCAAGAAATTAGAAGACCAACAGTGAATGTATCATTCACCGTCCTGCTGCCCCAAAATACTCACTAGCACAAAATGTGGATTAATCCGCCGCTGTAAATAGTCCCCAACAAATGCACTATTTCCTGCTGTTGGTTCGATAAAAACTACAGCAGCTGTTTTAGTTGTTGTTGAAATTACTGAGACTTTTTAAAAAAGTGAAACAATATATTAATGAGGTGTGTTTAATGATTTACGCCTTCAGTAGGAACCAACAGGATGTCATGAAGAGATGAACTAACACTTTGTTGGTTTTGTTTACAATTAACAGTATTTCCATTTTATGCTTCTGCTCCATTATATTTGACTAAATAATTCACTTTTTACTCCACTACATTTCTTTCATAGCTTTAATTTTACATTCTAAACATCTGACTAGCTTACTGATCAACAAATACATGACAAAAAATATACATGCATTGAAAAGTAGCTGCACCTCAACATTAAAATGCTCAATAATATTGAATATAGTACATTAAACAATCTGTACTTTTACTTCTGATACTTAAATAGTTTACATTTTGCTTTATTGCTGTAGCAGCAATAGCAGCTGGGACATGAAGCTGCAGTAGGACCCTCGGTCTGATGGGCCTATATGTGTGGATACAGTGCAATAAGTCAGCAGGATGTTTTCTGCAGCTGTGCCTTTTAGTTTGAACTATGTTAATTTTGACAGTAATGTACCAAGAGCTAAAAAGAAATCATAGTTTAGTATTTTCATGGTGCAGATTTGTTTGATCCTCCAGCCCTGTGGAGAAATGTGGAGAGTCTATAATATTCTTTTAATATTCCAATAGTTTGAAATGTGTTGTCTGTGCTGCCACACAGCTTCACAACTGTTACGGGCAAACTAGTTATTAATATAATCGATGTAATTTCAGCTAATAACCGTCTATGTAGCTGGATTTACTTCATAAAACTCAGTGATAGTCTGGTTTGTACCTGGATCGCAGCTACAGTCTGCAGCCATGAGGAAACACAATCTTCAATACACAAAAACAGCTCCTGTCTTACAGCTTCAAACTGGCTTTTATACAGTATTAAATAGGTTTACACCCTTGTGCGAAAGAGATTGTATTGTGACCGACCTATGAAATCAACAGTCACAGTTCATCTGTGTGTGTGCGTGTGTGTGTGTGTGTGTGTGTGTGTGTGTGTGTGTGTGTGTGTGTGTGTTGTGTTTGCATTATTGGGTGTTTCGAGTTGAGTTCCCGTAAAAAAAATCTTGCAATAGTGCCCGTCAGTACCAGCTAACTCCACTGCACAGCAGCCTGAAGAAGACTTTGGTTGGTTTTTTTTTTAATAACACCATACCTCCCAGCCGCTCAGTCTGACTCT